TTCCCTGTTTCTCTCCTCTCTGGTGGTGGTGTCCTTGAGAGGTGCAGTGCTAACTGCCTGTAACAGGGAGCAAGTGATGGGGAGAGGAACTCTGTGGGAGAAAAGAGGGACTTGTTGTTGACACATGTCCTGGTGCACTGTTTGAACACTGTCTATTTCAATGCATTTAGAGTGCTTTTGTTGGCTTTTGTCCGATTTTTTATGAGCTATACGGATGAACTGTGCGTATAAATCATGTCTGACAACGAGCAAGTTGAGTGCTGACCGGTGCTTTCATCATTATTGTGTTTCCCAGATAATGGGATTTAAAAGGCTAGAGAGAAATCCTTTGTGGTTATGTTTGAAGAATGTTTTCTCCAAGAAAGAAACAGTCCTTTTCTGTTACTGATCATTACACTTTAAGTTTCCCCCTCAGCTTCAAATATCCGATTGGATTTGATTGCAAGCAGTCGTTAACACTGACAAAAGTCTTGTATAAGTTTTTATCATCTTCAAACAGTGTTGAGGATAAATTCAGGAAGTAAAAGCCAGATATGCTTTCACATTAGAAATGTATTCATAACACTATTTGTATTCCCACATTTTCTAATGCATCCTCACTACAACACAGGATGCTTTTTTTTTCTGCTGAGAGCAGGAAAGTGAATTTCCTCCAAGCCCTTTTCTGACCAGTTGTCAGCTTTTCATTTTCTGCTGCTGTGCGAGGATTAGTATTTGATCCGAAGATGTGTTTATTAAAAGAAGAAGAAGCAGAGCAGAAAAGTCCCTGCCGTGCCAGTGAGGCCGATGCTGATGCTGCTGGGTGAATTCACCATGCCTCCAGATAGGACTGTGAGTGTCATTTTTATCATTTGGAGAGTGTTAGCAAAAAGAAGTCTGCTGGAAGTCTGTTACAGCCCCAGCGACACTCGAGCTAGCACTGTGTGGAAGTTTCCATTTCAGCCCACCAGTAATGTCAGCGTCAAAATCCATGCAGGTTAAATTTAGGGAGAATTTGGCTTAGTGGCTTTGGTGCAGAGACCTAGGAGTTATTTATACATGGTAACAGTGCACAGTGATGCAAAGCAGAGGGGCAGATAGACCTGCATAGAAAGGAGCTGCTTCATTTGTGCCACTTCTTATGCACCTGAAAACAATGCAAATGAGATTTAGCTGTGGGCTTTTGGAAAGCTGCTCTTCAGAAATTGTGCTTGTTGATATCTGACCTTCAAACCTACACATCCAGCCAAAAGAAACACTTCTCTGTTTTTGGTGCATCATGTTCTTTGTGATTTCGTCATTATACCCTGTTTTATGTAATAATGTGCTAGGTCACTGGAAAATGCGGCATTAAAGGCCCTTCACACAAAGTCACAAAGGTCCACCCACACTTATTTGGCCTGATTATAGTCCCATGCTGCTGCTGGCAGAATAAGTGGAACTGGAAAAGCTCATACAGTATTCCAAGATGGTTACATCACTTCTTCTTTTGTGCTGTTTTGCACCTGAAGTGATTACTTAAAAGGTGAAACCAGATACAAACAAAAAGCTATTGTACTGGTGTTAAAAACTGGAATGAAAAAAAGGATTTATTTAGATACAACACACAGCTATGGTGGTGCAGCCATTTCACCTGCAGTCTGGTAACACCTCTGTAGTTTTATATCATCACTGTCAGAAATTGCTGATACTTCTGGCTCAGAATTACAACTGCAAAGCTGATGTGAATGGTTCTTTCTGACTCAGCTGCTCGTAGTTACAGTCCCCCCCCAAAAATGACCTGAGTGTGACTTGATTGATAAACATGTGACCTTTTCACAGCAAACATTTTGACCTGTCACCGTAAGAAAAGCTCAGGAGTAACTATCATTAATGATTTAGCTTGCATACAACAAGGACCCTGAAAATGAAACAACTAAATGCAAGACAGTCGTTATTGTATATATTATTTAGACCTGTGATTTTCCTTCTGCGACATGTCACCAGGAGTTCACTGAAACATTGTTTGTTATTCCCTCTTTTTGACTGTATACATTTGAGATAAATTTACATATTTGACACATTTTAGTTATCCAAAAATCTACATTTTAGGCCTATTCTTATTTATTACTTATAAATACAGTAGTTCTTATCTATATAAAAACTGTTTTAGCATTTTAAAAAGTGCAGATTAATATTCAGTCATTGTTTGGTTAGAGTCCATTTGATGCTATACAGGAACATCATGGGTCTCCAAATCTGAATATTTTGAATTTTTCAGATAAACTAAAGGCTTTTGTGTTTTTTTGTGTGTTAGGAAAATTCACATTGTTCTTAAGATAAATTAGCAATTTTAAAACCATCCTAATAGCTGAAAAATAACAGATTACAGATTCTGTGTTTTGATTTGAGCAGGTGGTCTTCACCTTTAGATCACGAGTTGTGCCTTTATGAGGTCCAACAGACAGTAGATTAGAAACATAATGCTACTGGCAAAGATTTTGCATTAATTATCACATCTTTATGACCTCACACAGGATTTTCCATTAACAGATCATCAACACAGATCTGTTTTCTCTTAGCCAGACTCCTTGTCACTAATGGCTCCAATTATCCAGAACCAGGCTGACTTTGCAAAGGTAGTGGCCAAAGAGATTCCTGTTCACTATAAACAACAAAAACAGCCTCTTTAGTTGTGCCAAATGCTATTCATCACTCTGCTAGAAAGTGTTTCTCATGTAAAAACCCTTGTCTCCTTTGATCGACACTCCCTTTGACTGAATTATAGGATTTTCAGTGTTTCCTTAATGCTTCAGTTCTTTAGTGAGGGTCTGTACAGTGTGAGACCCCACAGTGTGTTTTCACTCCCTCTCTACACATCTTTGAATTGAAGACAGACAAGAGCAGCTCTGATTTACCACTATCTGATTTCCTTCTTTTTGGTGAATATGCTTCATATTATAAAGAGGTGATTTAGCAGGGAATGAGGCAAATGAATTATACATCCACATGGCCTTTGGGATAAACCCGAATTAGAATTTCCAATGGAGTGAGGTGGTGGGATGAATGATCAGAAGAGGGTGAACAGAAGAGAGGAAAGGAAAGGATATTTAGGAAAGTCAGTGCTGTTCTGTTGTTTGGTTGAACTAGTACTGATTTTTGGAAGTTGTGCAGATCCATTTGGTGGGTGTACACGTTTTACTTAAATGTGTGGCTCACATGTAGCTATGATAGCATGACCCAAAGAGATAATTTGATGATACTGCCATCAACTAGCGGCTCATGTTCTGTTTTCCATCTGCAATGCTGTGCCGTCACTGGCACACTTGGGTACTTCTTGGCACCGATATCGCATGTCAGTACCAACTCTGTGCTAGTGGTGCCATTTTAAACCACTTCTTGGCCAAATCAGTCTGCTATGTGACTAAAACTAGAAAACTACAATCAGAGTCAAAAACAAAACTCGTCACACATTTTCCTCTGAATTACAAATTGCAAAGCTCCAAAAACTGCAGTTCAGATGGCAAAATGTCAGCGGAGCATTTTGCCGCCACATATACTGTCATCAAAGCGATACAGAAAATGGATGTCATTTTCACTTTCATTTGGGTGTCAGTCCACTTTAGGTGTTGTGATGCACTGGCCAAGCACTTGCTCCCTATCCTCTGTGACACTGGAGAGATTTCAGTTTGGCCCTGCAATGGTCGATACAGCGCACTGTGACAAGGCTCTCAGAGTAAAGTCATTAAATGCAACCATCTAAGTTCAATAGATAAGCTCTTGCTGCCTCATTTACTGGGACTTAGTCGAATCCCAATTGACTGGAATGAGTTTCATGTCTAACCACAGCTGCTCAGCCACTGCATCTCTGCAGGGAATTTGAGGGTTTCCCTCACTGATTGACCCACACATAAACTTTGTTCACAGTCAGCACTTCTGTTCCGTGAAAGACACACCAGCTGCAGATTCAACAGTGCAACAAAACGTTCTGTTGTCTTAATCTTTTTCGAATGCACTGTAAATACTATGAATAATGACTCAAGTCTGAATAATTTTCATGCTAATGTAACCCTAGTTAAGTGAACCTTTACTCTCTGGATGGTGTTTAGTTTGTTGTTTTAGGTGCTAAGACAAAATTATCTGTAATTAGTGTACTGTAGTAGGGTCATCTAGATACCTTTCCACTCAACATGAGTTACTGTACTGCTGTCATAATGTAATGAAGTAAGAGAAGATTTCTTTAGCTAACTTTGGCTGCTTTCCTTATTTACTCCCAGCTGGGAGACTCTGGCAGGGGTGGCACCAATTAGGGGTGTCCAATATTTGTTTGCCAAATATGTCTTTCAAACAGAGAGCCAGTCTTTCTGTTTCTGATAGCAAACAGTTTCCAGTGCTCTTGAGGATTTAGAGCCTGCAGTTTTGTAAACCTCGGACACACCATGTCAGCGGAGGTCTCTTGATTCTAGCTGACGGTCTTTGTAGTGTTCACTCACCACATAGTAAAGTTTTAGGACCAGGGGGATAGAGGTGGTACAGATGATGACTTCTTCAGTCCCTGAAAGTTGTAAGTACACTATGTGCCAACCCACTGAGCTGTCACACCTCCTGTCAAAATTGTGTTTTAGACAGCTTCATGGGTGCAGGGTTGATCTGGGCTTTTATGAAGCTTTCCATTTGAGCTGGGCTTAAGTGTACACAGCGTGACAGCAAAGTACAAGCAGAAATCTTTATCCAGTTTACTGTCTCTTCTGTTTACTGCCCCATTGATCACTCTTCCTCTCTGTAGCCACATAATTTCTGGGTCCCCAGTGGATGGCTCGTCACAAGCATATCTCAACAATGGGAGCTGATTGTGTTGTTGCCATGTTGGAACCTTCACTTTCTATTGATTGGGCATTGATCAACTTTTAGGTAGCTTTGGTCAAAGGGTGAGTGTGTTCGTTTTGGTTTAAAATAGTGTGGATGTTTGTCTTGTGTTTGATGACTCACTGGAAGTAAAAAGGGTAAAGACTGTTACATGGCACATGGTAAGAATTTCATTGTACAGGGAAACATGTTTCCTAACTGTGCATATGACAAAATAAACACTTTGAACTACATCATCCTGAAATGAGATGCTATTTGTTACTTGTCAGTGTTGAGATGTATCTGTTTGGGAGGCTGTAGTTTGTTGTGCTGTTTAATTTTGTTGTGTTGAATTAAATAGTGCAGTAGTTAGCACAGACTCACAATCAGAAGGTTCCAGGTTCAAATCTCATGGCTGACTGGGGCCTTTCTGTATGGAGTCTGCATGTTCTCCCTGTGCCTGCATGGGTTCTCTTCGGGTGCTTCCTCCCACAGTCCAAAGACATGCACCTTAGGTTGACTGGTGACTCTAAACTGCCCGTAGCTGTGAATATGAGCATGAGAGGTTATCTTTGCGTTGGCTCTGTGTTAGACTGGTTCCTGTCCAGGGTGTACCCCGCCTCTTGCTCAGTGTGCTGGACCCTGTAGTTTGGCTTTTCTAGTGAATATTTCCTCTTGCTCAGTGTGCTGGACCCTGTAGCTTTTAGCAAATGTTACTGAAATGGAAGTAAATTGTGTATATTTGGGGCTCAAAATATATGTTTGGCATTTCTAGTGAATATTTGATCCAACACAACAGTGTATGTGGGATTGAATCGAATTAAACTACAGTGCCCATGTTCATCATAATGAAGGAATATGCAATGGCGTGGCTCTAGTTTTTGAACGACAGTGGGGCTCTATGGCACAGAGGAATGAGTATATCAGGCTTTAACTATACTGACAATACTTGCAGAATTAATTCATTGTTCTTTTGGTCTTTTCACAGGATTTGCTGACAAGAAAATTACCACACTAATCCACTGACATATACAATACAAATAAAAAGGGGCAAGTGCAACACATGCTCTACATGTTGGTTGCTAAGCCAAAACTGATCTGCAACTCCAATCTATGGTTACACTTGTATAATGCAATAGTTAATTTACTGAGTGTGTGTTACTAAGCACAGCTTTTGAAGATCTTTTGAAAATCATTATATGCACTGCTTTAACAGAACATTATCTCTGTCTCACCCACTCCCTCTTAGTACAAACAAGTGGAGCAGTATATGTCCTTCCACAAGCTGCCTGCTGACTTCCGACAGAAAATCCATGACTATTATGAGCACAGATACCAGGGCAAGATGTTTGACGAGGAGAGCATTCTGGGAGAACTCAGCGAGCCTCTCAGAGAGGTAAACCTACAATAAGACACACAATTTCCACACATAAGTATCAACTTCTAATTTTGTTGTAGTATAGTACAGCACTGAAGTTGTACTTTGAAATTGTTTTATGTTTGAGCTAGTTAAAAATGATTGACTGTATCCACTGTGAACACAGAATTTGTTTTAGCCTTTGCATTCTAGTATTTGCACATGGAGAAGGACACACTTTTCCTCAGTGGAGTACTGTGGTTGGATATTTGATATGTTTTGTTGTTCTTGTATCTAACAATGTATCTCTTTGTAGGAAATTGTTAACTTCAACTGTCGCAAGCTGGTGGCATCCATGCCACTGTTTGCCAACGCAGAGCCAAACTTTGTGACAGCCATGTTGACCAAGCTGCATTTTGAGGTATTTCAGCCACAGGATTACATAATAAGGGAGGGCACCATTGGAAAGAAAATGTACTTCATCCAGCATGGAGTATGCAGCGTCATTACCAAGGGCACCCTCGCAATGAAACTGTCTGATGGCTCTTATTTTGGAGGTAGGCAACAGTTTGTAGATTTCATATGTTTTTTTCTTCTTTTTTTGTTCACTTTCTTTTTTAAACTATTACACTTTCCTATTTTCAGAGATCTGTTTATTGACGAGGGGTCGTCGAACAGCCAGCGTACGAGCAGAGACTTACTGTCGACTCTACTCTCTGTCTGTTGACCACTTCAATGAGGTGCTGGAAGAATATCCCATGATGAGACGAGCCTTTGAGACCGTTGCCATTGACCGTCTAGACCGCATAGGTACAAAAGAAAAAAGAATATTACATTTGAATGTGGGAAAGGCTACACCAATACAGGCATGCTTAACATTAGACCCTGATATACAGGTATATTTATGCTGTCAATATAAAAGTGTCTAACATCTGTATAACATCATTATGAGTATTTGTGAGTATCTGCATACTACTCTTGTTTAATTTAGCACTCTGGTGTGAACCCCAAGTATAAAAAAACAAAATAATTTTGTGTGCTCAGGAAATGTTTTCAGTGTTAATGTTGGAATAGGCAGTAAAATGAGCCGTGCTGTTCCTTCACAGTGACACAGGACGCTGTAACAGTAGATGAGAGTACAGGGTGATAATGTCCCTTTTCCTCCAGGCTTGTTCTGCTGCGGGATGTACCTGGTGTGAAGGACATCACATGCCATATCTACTTTATATTGTTACCCCTCTCCAAATCCTCTTGCTTCCCCATATTTATGCTTTATTCTACTCGTTGTCCTCTCTGAACTGTCCTTTCTCATTTCAGCTTGCAACTCTTTAACAATCAACTCACTTATTTCTTCCTGCAGGCAAAAAGAACTCCATCCTGATGCACAAGGTCCAGCATGATCTCAACTCTGGTGTCTTCAACAATCAGGAAAATGAGATGATCCAGGAGATTGTCAAGTACGACCGTGAGATGGTGAAACTGGTGGATCTGCAGCGGCCTCGGGCCATGTCTATGACCCCTTCCATTGGTGGTATCTTTGCTCCCCCTGGTCAGCCGCAGACCGGCTCTGCTATCGCCACCCTCCAGCAGGCTGTGGCCATGAGCTTCTGCCCTCAGATGGTGGGTCCAGGGACTCTGCAATCTCCTCGTATGGTGCGAAGGTTCCAGGTGATGCAGAACCTGTCCAGCCCAGTTGCCATGTCTCCTCTTCAGTCTCAGCCGCCTCTGACACTCGGAGGGGCATTTGGATCTGCGGTCTCCAGCCCACCTGTCCAAAGCCCACTTGCAGCTCCAGGACGGACTTTCCAGTATATGGCGAGCGCAGGACCATCTGGATCCCAGTTGTCCCTAGTACAGCACCATGCACCCAGTCCCACACAGACCCAGCAGAGGCCTGCCTCACACAAGAGTGCCCACTCACTTCATACAGGCAACTTGAACCAGGATTCCCGGGCCCTGTCTGCCTCACAGCCTTCACTTCCCCAGGAGGGAATACCACAAGCTGCCTCTGCAGCCCCCAGCCCTCCGCCCTCCACCTGCACATCCAGTACCTCCATTGGCCCAACTCAGCCCTCTCACTCGAGCCTGCCTGGGCCCTCGGGGGTGGGAAGACCAGCGGTGGCTCAGCAGAGGGTGGCCTTTGCCTCCACACCGCCTCCCGGTGGACCTGCGGGAGCGGGGGCAGTAGCAGCAGCAGCAGCTGGAACAGGACCTCCAGACTCTGGAGTTCCCAAGAAAGATTCAATTGTCAGCCTTCCAGAGCTAGACTCTGCCAGATCCCGGCTGTCTTCCAACTTGTGACCCTGGTAGAGTTCAGGAAAGAGGCCTTTTTTGTATGAGAATCTGTTTGTCTTAGGTCAGTCCAGCTGATCTCTCAGCCTGCTAAATGACCAGTCAGCTACCGCCCACGCCACCAGTCATCTGACATGGACGCAATGTGTGCTGGTGTCAGCAGAACGAAAAAAGCAACTCAGAGTCCTGAGAGACTTTGGCTAGGAGCACTCTATACAATTAAACTAGTATAAGTTAAGGTTGAACTGGTCTAGTCTACCGTGCCAGCACTTTTAGTCTTAGTATCAGCCCCTACACTCTGCTTCCAAACACCTACTGTATATCGCTGTCTTTATCGTTAAAGATATGAAGAAAAGTATGTGTAATGTAACTACTGCATACTGTGTAGAATCCATGCAATGCAATCTAGCAGGAGCTGGACTTAAAAATGAAAATCAGGGACTTGAGGTCAAATGACAATGACATTTTAAGTGTTCAACAAATGTTTTGAGTGTAATTTTTCTGTATAAGTTGTCGTAGCAAAAGAATGCATTGCTCTTCATATTGTTTAAAATGATAGTGAAAACAGTGTTTTAGACCGCTGGTCGATCTTAAGTCAATGTGTATATAGTTGATGAAAAAAGTACGGAGGGATATTATATTCATTGTATCTACCCAAACCAAAGTTGAGCTTGAACACAAAGTCTGGTTGTGTCTGTATCAACTAAAAAAGAAACATAGAAGAAAATGCCATTTATTTAACTGCCTTGATTCGATGTTAGAAGCCATATATTTGGTTTGTGTGTATGTATGTATATACGTATGTGAAGTTTGTGTGTGTGAATTTATTGGTATGTTTTGGTTCAATTTTTGTAGAATGGACTCACACACTCTACAATGTTTGTCAAGCATGCTTTGTTTGACATGCTGACAGTGGCCCTGAGCTGTTTTCATGAAACATCTGGATTGTGGCCAGCTGTTTTGTCAGCTTACTGATTGTAACCCTGAAGGCAAAGGTGGTAAAATAATCTGAGCTTTATTGAAAGGAAACATTTGTGAACAACCCATACTGTATACTTGCTTGTTTTTGTCTAGGTTTATTGATTAACACATGCAATATAATTCTGCAATACTCTCCCCCGCCTATATATAAAAAATATATGAATATAAATATCTATACATATGCTGTACAGGAAAGAGAACTTTTGTTTTTCCTTTAGTTTTCTTTTTAATGTTAAATTTTAAAGACTCCAGCAACTGTTGTGGCTTCATCTGAGGTATTGTAATCCAGTGACCATGTTGTTACCTTAACCAAAAATGTTTGAAGGAACAAGGGGACGCACGGTGTCATTGTTGTAAAAAGCACGGGACAAATTGTAGAATCCACACTTTAGGTTCAGCAAGTCATATCCTCAAAAATGTCACTTTTGGGGGGTGGGGGCGGGGTGGGAGCCAATGTGGGGCAGTAATCCCTCACTTGTAAAAATTCTCTATATTTCTATGTGCCCTGTGACAGCCCGGACTCCCATGAATGTCTCAACATTTAGAGCCACAACAATCCTATAATTCAAATTTGGAGGCTGAGGCTTTTGTTATATTGATTCTAATTAGTCTGATCCCGTTGAACCTACAAGCCTTCTCTTTGCTGAATGTATGTCGAACGAGAAGGAAGACAGCAAATCAAATACAAACTGCCATGTAAATAAAGAGACAGAGATTTAAAGAGGATTTTATGATGCAAGGGGGGTGTGGGCATTGTTGCATGTGTTGCTGAGTGTTTGTGCAATTTTTTTTTTAGGTTTGTTGATGCTTCTCTGGGTTGAACATCGCTGTATTTAATCTGTGTGCTTCCCCCCGACCCCCTACACACACCCAATCCCCAAATCTCACATGAGAAGATATAGTTTTTTAGTTTATTTACTGAGGTGGGCCTGAATGAGAGCGAGTCGTAACCACTTTGAACTCCTCGGTCCAAAGCGAGCGCTGAAGATTTCCAGTCAAGCACCTTGTGTTGCACTATGACCTTGTGATCAAAATGAAAATCAATACTGTGTTCTCCTAAAACAGTTGCAGTCTTCTCCTGGTCCCAATATCTGTTTAAACTGTAAAAACAAAATGTGAATCCAACTGGGATAGAAAATAGGCAGCTGATTCAATATATTAAATAACACATTGTTTCAGCTCTGAGCATCGATCCAGAGTCAGGCTGTAAAATTGATGCAATGCACATTTCACTCAGGTTTGCTACCTTTCCAGAGTGATGTATTCATCACCGTAGCATGGCTTTGCCTTCATTTATGTAGATTTGTCTATCCTCAAATAATCAGTTTGTTGGTTTGACCATGCTGAAAGATTTCCTTTCGGTTTTGATTGGCCGAGAAAAAAAAGGCAGATCTAGTAGAGTCATAATCCTTAAATTGTTATTAGCATAACCCCCTGTCATTTTGTTTTGATCACTTTTTCTGAGAGCTGGTTAAATCTTGAAACAAGGTGTAGGTGATTGTTTTTACCCAAGGGCTTCATCATATGGCTTGTATTCCCTGGCACATTGTTACTATAGAGCAGCCACGTGTTCACTTCCTGTTTGATCAATAACATGCACTAAACCTTGCTCCTTGTCATACCTGGGTCACAGTGCTGTGACTCATTTCATCAGCAACACAGGAACTTTGTATTGCTTTTTTTCCTATGGGAAAGGTACATACCAAAATGCCAATACAGTTGTGAATGATCTGCGTCCATTTCAGTCAGTAGCTGTTGTCTGCTTCAGTACTGTTCCGGTGCAATCAGTTGGTCCCCTTCCCTGTTCCTTTGTGCTAATACCAGAGTCTGCCCTATTAAGCTGCTATCAGGACTGTGCTGATATTATATGAATGAGTCCACAGTCAGTGAGAGCAAGATGGAAGGAGAGTTAAAGAGCTAATATTTCAGGCAATATCAGACACTGTCTCTGTTTCATTGCATCCATCCAGTCCGATAGTGTAGTGCAGTCCCACTCAAAGGTCGGCATCCTGGACACTTTGATCAGTACCACTCTGTTTGAACCCGCAGCCACGAGGAAGATACAGCACATACTTCTGACAGTTATCTGTTTTGTGTCTGTGTCACAAGTGTTCGGTCAGTTGGCTTCCAGTCTCCGCTGACATGTTGTGTGTGTGTGTGGGATATAGTGCTGTGTTTGCCTGATGACTAGGGGTTCAAAGTGTGATTGTTTAACGGTTCTTCTTCTGGATCTTGCTGTGAAGTGGGATTGGAATCCCTCATGTTTGATACTGACTGACAGTTATTGAGAGTATCCAAGTTTCAAACCTCTCATTCTTGTTGTACCAGATATTAAAGGTACCAAATGCCTTGGTGTTGAGATGTTAGCAAATCAGGGTATTATTTTTGTTTGTAAAAGTGTCTTTTATTTATCAGTATATTTTGTTTGGACATTGTTTTTACAATGTGCCCCATGCACACGGACTGTATATACCTTGTGCCTAGTATATCTAGTTTCCACATAGTCTATTTTTGTGGTATGTATGTGCCTGTAAAATGCAAATATGTGGTTTTATTTTCAACTTGCAATATATTTAAAATCATTATTTGAAGACTAGCATTGCTGAATTAAAATGACAATGTCAGTATATATAATTTTCCCTCATTTGGGAAATACAAAATTGCACATTTTTGTTGGTTTGAGCCTTCCAACACCATGCGCGCTGTATGCTGTACTTTCATGTTCTGTACATATGGTATACACAGGGATGTGGGGCACATTGCTGTGTTTTTACCACAACCTGCTGTGCAAGAAATCTTTTCTACACTAAGAGGGTGAGCTCTGAGAGGCTTCTGGTGGATATTGGCAGTCTAGACGTTAGCTTAGATGACCTGCTTGTTGCACGGAGCCAGAAATGACAAAAACAAGTCATCAATAAAACTGTGGAGATGCTTGCACAATAACAATACAGAAATAAAACTAGCCTGTGCACAAAGTTGTTTTCTCAGATCATACTGTTGCACATTTCTTTAAACTCTGATGCTGATTGCACAATGAACAGATGTTTGCCAGTTAAAAAAATCAAGATCTCTCCAAAGCAGAATTTGGCTCAAGGGCCCCAGCAGTCATGAGCTTGGCTTCCGGCTGAGTTACCTTGACATATAATAGCAGAGTGCATGCTTATATTTCTCTCATTTACATAGAGTTGTGTGCATGATTTTTAGTGGGACCTTCAAACCTAGACATTGTCATGTACCAACTACTGTACAATGATTTTATTTAGTCTAACAGTTAAACGTTTGTGTCGTAGCTATTGTAGCCTGCTTAGCTTACCTAAGCCTTCTCTCTGCTTCAGGTCACTGTGTATTGTGTGCTTGAGTTTGTGTGTGTGTGTGTGTGTTCCTGTGCCTTTCCTTCTATAATGTTGGTCCCACTTGAGAATATGATGCTATTTAGGGGTTTGAAACCCACATGAAGCAGAGAGACGCCAGCACAAGCTGGAAAGTATTACAGGGTCGACTCCATTTGTTCTATAAACACAGGAAGAAAAAAGAAAAAAACAACAACACTGTAATGCTCCTAGAAATGACTCTGGCACATCCCTAGACTTAGTAGCATTCCACAACCTGCACGAGCAGCAACGAGACACACCTTACCAGCACCATATAGACAACAGCACAGATATCTGACACAGTATGTGTTCTGTCTGTCTCTGGAGGCCAGTGTGCAACCATCTCAGGCTCTCCTCAGCTTCTGCTCTTAACAAAATTGTTCAAGTATTTCAGAACCCCAGCTATGTCTAAGTTGATGTCTACAATTCAGGAGCAAATCAGTACCCAGTCCGAGTCGCAGCAAGATCTCAAAGGATCAGGGGGGATATTTGGGATGCTGGTGATTTTTCTTGCCATCCAGTCCTTTCAGACTGAAATACGCAGCTAATGGCAATGGCAGGGGGCTGATTTGAACCTGTGTTTAAAAGGCTGTCTTGTCCACCACCTCTGCTGGCTGAAAACACAGAGCCACACCCTAGTGTCTCTCAATAAGCTGATCTGTCAGTCAGTGGCAATGTTGTTTAAGCGTTCGTATAAAGATGATACATTGTTGTGCAATAAAAAGATGAGCGCATTGGCATACATATCTCTGTGAGTGGACTTTTATTCATTTGTGTGTCTTTGTTGGTTGGTCCGTATTCTGTGCTGGCTGCAGTGTTGGTGTCTGTGCATGTGTGAACCTTTAACATGAACCTCCTGGAGATTCATTGATAATTGAAAATAAGTGCACAAAAACAATCACAACCTTGTACAGCAGCCAGCAGCCCCTAAACCTTTGTTCTACCCCACATCAGATGAGATCTCTCTCTTTCTCTCTGCAGACAGGGACTCTGCTGCATCCCTGATGAGTTGTCTGAGCTCAGTCTAAGAGCTTTCCATTTATGTGTGTGTGTGTGTGTGCATATGAATGCACACAGCACAGCAGTAAGTGTATTTATTGCAGTACCTAAGAGCCTGTGTGTGCGCACTTGCAAGCCCGAGTTTTGTATTTGTTTGATATGGAGAGATACTAAATAAACCAAATGAACCAGTGGCAGGAGTGTGTGTGTGTGTGTGAGAGAGACACAGGGTGGGTGTGTGCGTCAGCGATGAGGGCAGTCCAAGGACACACTCTCCTCAGGCAGCCTGGGAGCAGCACCCACCCATTCCCTCTGTCTATTACCTTTACACACACACACACACACATACACAAACACTGCTGTCTGGATCCTCAGTGATTATGCATGGCACAGTGAGATAGAAAGATTAAAATTACATGCAAGGTGAGGTTTGGACACAGAGCTTTATATCATCCATTTTACTGTATCTCCTCAGATCTACATGCAGCTGGTACAAATGTGGGTGAGGACATCCGCAGTGTGTGTGCATAGTTTCACAGTTTTACCTTGATGTGACATAATGTCCTCTCTTTCTTCCCCTTTATTCACACACACACACACACAGAGTGTCTCTCTCTCTCTGTCCATTTTATTGTAATTCAGTGAGCAAGCAATGTACTGATAGTGGCTGCAGGCAGTTACTACACTAACTTGTGAAGCTACTGTATATGTTGTCTTATATAGCATGTATGGTTGAGGATTGTCCTCAACCTCGTTTCCTTTGCAGCATCAGTTTTCTACTGCGTCCCTGGTTGTCCTACTTCAATTAATCATATCAGTATCTCCCGCACTACCCCCTGGGCTGTTTATCTCCAGAGGGCAATTTGCTTATTTAGCTATGGTGTCCTCCTCACACATTCCCATACATCTCCTTCCAGTCTTCCTTGCACTGCTTGGCACTATGTATTCATCAACTTCCTATTATGTCTGTTTTTAGAAGCTAAAACATTTGTGTCCTCCGGGGTTTTCCCTGTGAGCAAAATCTGCTTTTTCAGCCACTGTGATTCATAAGAACGAGTGTGATTTGTTTGCAGGTGCTCTTGTTAATATGCACAGAAAACTATGTGTGTGTATCAGGCACAAACTCTTATCCTCCTGCCATAACATTACCTCTCTGCTGAAGCTGCTTCACCTTAACTCGCCTTGATTTACATAGCACTTCACCACAACACGGTTGGTCTCAAGCACTTTTCAACGCTCAGTGGAAAGCAGAAGAAAGAAAACAAAAAAGGAAAGAGAACAACAAATCCTTATTAGAGGCACACGGTCATGAGCATATAGAGAAAACAGACCTACAAAGATTTCTACAAATATCTAAGCTAATTTGGTTAGGGACAGGTAAACGCTGACAAACAGAAGTGCATTTTAAGTTGAAAATCTCTACAGAATGGGAATGGGGAAGATTGACTGGCATAAGGAGGAGAGTTCCACAGTTGTGGAGCACCTACAGTAACCCGTCCTTGTCCCTGACTTGTCACAGTTTGCCATGGTTTCAGGTCAACACAAGTGGCATGTGTCATTTTACGTGCCAAATTTAATTGGAACCGAGACCTTGGCCATCCGGCACAAACCAACACTGTGCTGGTCAGGTTTGGACTACACCCAACATGATGAGGAATGAGGAAGTAAACAACGATAATAACTATAACAGTGAGTAACAAATTGTGACAGATTGTTACTCGCTGAACTGGAGAACATGTGCAGCCATCTGTATGTCTTGTAATTATCAAGATCTGGTTGGGGGTGGGGGTAGATTTGTGCATCAGCTGCAAAACAACAAAAAGAAAGACTGTGTTTTTGAATAATATGACCTAATGAAAGCATTTAAGTAGAGATATTGATTCTTGGGAGATGAGAGATGAGATGAGATGGAGGCTGAGGATAAAGATGAGTTGCCACTTGAAATATTGTAGGATCTGATGGATAAACTGAAGGCAGAACTGGAAACTTCCACCCAGTGATTTAACCTGTGAAGGAAGATGGAGTGGTCTGCTCTGTCACAGGCTGCACTTCAGTCTAAGAGTAAGAAGATGGAGCAGTTTCCTGAGTCAGCAGCCCAGAGAAGGTCGTTAGTTACTCTAAATAATGCAGATTGTATAGCTATTATAAAGAGCTTGCAGACACGTCTCTCTGAACAGGGGAGCATGAAGAGAATGCAGCTCAAATCTGAACGCTGGGATTAACATTTGGTCCAAGCTCTGAGTCTATGAATGAGTCAGTGAACAAGACACACTGAGAGAGATACAGTAAATCATCTTCCAGCCGCAGACAGCCTCAGTAACTGACGTTACTGAGGACACTGGGCTGGGGAGGAAGTGAGAAGTGCGTCAAGCAGAAATGATTGAGAGAAGAAACACACAGTAAGAGACAGAAGGGAAGGGTCACATGGTCTTCTACAAACTATGTCATCAAAAACAACTAATTTAATTTGTTGGTCCTTTTCTGTGTGAGCCCTTTGTTTAAACAAAAAGAAATATCTTCCTCTGTCTGATCATGTCTTCTTTCAAGGACACGTGGGCTATGAATCACATGACCCTGACCAAAGTGTGATTCAATCCACCGTTTAGTGGCACATTTACAGCATACATACATCAAAAAACAGAAAACTGCAGAAATATATTTCCTCACTGTTGACTGTCCAGTGATCCAGTGTTGTATTAGTATGCTTGCCAATATACAACCTCTGCTACAGTATAATTCTAGTTAAAGCTACAGTACGTCACCTTTTTCAATTTTTCTTTCTTTCTTTCTTTCTTTCTTTTTTTTTTGGAGAAATCTGCTCCAAAATTGTCTCAATGTGGAGAGGGCCTCCCGTGACCCAGACTCTTGGAGCAGTTCTGGCAGCAGTGAAGAGACATTAGCTTCTAAAAGGTTTTGACCAGGACTGACCTTGCTAACCAATCAGATTTTCAATTATTTGTGTTTGTGTTTGTGCCACAGAGCGTGGCAGATTATAGTAGAGCATAGTGGAGCAGGGAGAGGGAGCGCTAGGCAGAGCAGAGTGGGTTGACCTGGAGTTTCATGCTAGTGCTACATTATGTTACATACTGTAGCTTTAAAATCAGATGTTTAAACCTCAAAACAAATAAATCTGATTCTGTTATTTGTTTTCTATAGTGAATATTATTTCTTTTAACATAATATATAACATATAAATGTATATTTGTATATCAGACAGGTTGGACATTTCTTACAACTTAAATTTACACTGTCCATTATTTAACATTCTTCCATATTGAATTCATACTTTACAGTAAAAATGGCTGCTAAAACCAAGAATTTATCAAAATCAGAATCATCATTACTTGCCAATTTTATAGATCACACAAGGCATGTGACTCTATTACAGTGGCTCAATGTGCTTGTGTAAGTCAACCAGGGAAAAAAAATCATCAATCAATTTTAATAATCAATACATCTCATCAACTAACTATGTCTCTTGAAGGAGAGGAAGAACACAGCCTACCTGCTATGTGCAGCTCATACATATAGTCCTGTATTTAATCTATGAATCCACCGTACTTAGATTTGGTTTTCTGAGAAAGGCCCTTAATACATTTTTCACAATGAAATAATTCTGTAATTAAATTTATAAACTTAATGGTTTTATTGTTTTGTCTGCCCAAACCGAGTTCAAACTTTCCTTTGCGCAGACCAGCTGCTTAAAGCTTTTGTCATTTGATGTTGTTTCCTTAAAAGAAAAAGAAAACATTTGAGAAAATGCAAAGAAGAGAAGAGGAGCTGAAAGGGTGGCTGCTGAGCTCCCTGTGAGCAGCTGGCCCGAGCTGCAAACCACACATCTGCTCTACGCACCTCCCATTACAGACGCTCCAGATACCTCCATGAACAAAATGATGTTTTTACAAAAAAAGGGTAGAAAAAAAGCAATATGCTACAAACATGGAGAACAGGAAATATGACTAATGGAGAAATGGAACAAATCTCCAGGCAGATATTATTCCCTCTTTTCTCCCTCCAATCACTTTGTTTTGTTAACAAAGCATTTAATCTCCTCAGGTCTTTAGGCTCTTTCAGCTGTGATTGTTTTGCGACAGGAAACGAAGGCCCCCGCTCAATAATTTCACTCCATCATCCACTTCCACTGATAATATTTGCTCTGGGCCGCCAACTGGAGCGATGAGAGCCAGGACAATGCTTTGGTTTCTGAATCATCTCATCTGTTCTGCTCTGTCAAGGTCTGTACTCAGTAACAGACACACTCACACATTCACTCGCTCACACACATGCAAGCACACATGCACGTGCACATTATATTTCCATTACTTTAGGGGACATTACATTAGCCATAATCACTACTTGCCTAACTTGCACCCTAACTTTAAACCATCACCCTAAAATTTAATGATTTACATTTAGGGGACTTGCTGTTTGTCCCCACAATGTGACTGGTTAAACAGATTTACATCCCCACAACATGAGTAAACCCCGGCCACATGCACACACACACACACACACACTCACACAGTGAGAGACAAATATATCCACCGTCTGAGCGTGGCCCTTATTGCAAAGCTTTTTATTAACTAATCAAACAGCACACAATAGAGGTATCAGCCAATCTCTGTGTGTTAGTATGTCAGTGCAGACAGTTTGTCTATTGAATTTAAAGGCACCCTGTGGAGTTTTTCACCACTCATAGCACTGTGGAGTCATGCTTTTACTAGTGGGTCTCTAT